ATGAGCTTGTTTATTTGCGTGTTTGATTTGTTGAAGTTTAATGTTGTGTAAAAGTTGTCCTGATGTTTGGTTTGTTTGTTTGTCTGTCGGTATGTTTTTGTGGCTTTGTTTCTGCTGTAAATTTATTGTATGTTTTTATTCTGTTGTAAACAAGTAATTTTATTTAAAAATTGTAAATGCGCTGTGGCTTTTGTTATTGGGTTATAATATGCATAACATCCTTTCTTTGTTTGTCTGGTGTAATCTTGTTTGTCACTATTGCGTACTAGTAGATAATTGTATTTTCCCTTTCTTTTTTTCTGTGTGCTCCCTGAAGGTCTTTGTATACTGCAGCAATATGCTGTTGCTTGGAACCATTTGCTCACTATTGACCAACTCTTTTTTCCACTTATTCTCTACAGACGGACGCGTACGCACTTGGAGCAACGCTGTGGTTTCTTGTCTTCAAACGAAAACCTCGCGATGGAGAGGATCTTCTGCACGCTGTGAAATCCGACAGAACCCTAATGCCGCTCTTGGGCTTCTTCAGGTAACGAGACATTCTTTACTTTGGATCCTAACCCAATGCAGCTTTCTTTACTTTTAGATGAGTGCTGTTGATTCCTTGTAAATGAAAAATAAAATAGTAATATGTTGGTTTTTTAAAGAAAATACATACTTGTAGTCTGTTACGTAGAATATTCAGAAATTTCCATTTACCATAATATGAATACTTGCTTTCACTTGATGTTGCCGATTATTGATCTGAGTATTTTTGCTTACTCCACAGGTTTGTGCTCTACAGGCTTGTACAGAACAACCCACGACTCCGACTTTCAGTCTGCCATCTCCTGGAATTCCTTCGTGAGCGCTTTCAGCAGTTCAGGGTAATCATAGACTCTCTGTAACGAGTGCAAGTGCTGTATTTGCATACTTTTTTTCCTCTTTTCTTTCTTCATTTTAGCACTTTCTAACAAAATATGGTGTTGAAGTTGTTTCTAGTTTTCTTATATTTCACCCATTTCCGTTTACCTAATTCACCTAATAATTGAATTGAATTGCTATTTTGGTTTTTGAAATGTACTACACTACTTTAACTTTTAGTTTACTTACAAATTTGTCCACCCAACGACACATATTTTGCACTCGTGTTTGTCTTAACCAACAGAAAACTCAATGAGGCAGGAAGCAGGTGTCTTGGACACACCAAGGCAAGCTCAGGGCCTGTACATCACCAGCTGAAGTCATCATGTGAGTAATGGGGAGTTGACGAGGACTTTACACATGTTGCTGGTGAGTTGTTACCCTCACTACCGCTGAGGGGGGACCTGCTACCTACGAAGTGGACACAGCATTTTCTCTATTTTACTTTACTAACATAGTTGTCTCACAGTAACTAAAAAGTTTCCATTTTATCTAACTCTGAAATGTCTTGTCTCGTACGTGCATTTCTGTGTTTTCATTAATGTGTTACTAACGAGCCGAAATTATTCCAGCCACTGTGGGGGCAGCGCTTGGTTTAATCGGCTACTTTGTTTTGTCTTTTTTCAGCTGTTTCAATAACAACTACTCAATCGTTAAATCACTAGAATGCAAACTGTAGCTATAACTTACTTTAATTAGCAAAATGTACTAATTTCTAACATCCAATTTGTTGACTGACCCAACCCATAACACTAACATTCTTAAACTGACTAACAACTAACATACCCCAGACGTGAGCGCTCGGTAGCGCCGTCTTTTTAATCAGGCCTCGGTGTACAGTGTACCCTGAGACGGTCCCAA